TAATGCTAGTTTAGTGAAGGCAGCTACTAACAGATAATGCTAATTTAGGAAATAAACGACGAAGACTACTTTATGTGATCATTAACAAACAATTCGGCGAACAATGTTGAAAGAAAACGTTTGGTGGTATATCACAATTGAAAAGTTCATTTCTGATTTATGGGATTTTTGAGTCCATTTTAACTCACCTTATAGTAAACTAAGTTAATTTTGGTGTGTAAATAATATTATGGCATTAGGCCTAATTTATTATTCGGTATTATACAACAGATGAACTATTTCATGATTTTACTACAGATTTTTTAAAATTGCATCAAAGGTAAAATTAAAAATAGTAATCTAGGCTATGACCTTATAAGAGACTAAACTGTATTTTTTTGGTTTGCTGACTCAAGCTGTGCTGGTAAGTCATGAATAGGCGAAACCCGCAGTCCACAGAAATGCAATGCATTAGGCTTCTATGTCACAGATTATATTTTTAATTTTACCTTTATTGTAATAAACTAATATCTCATTGTTTGTTTCTTAAACACGAAGATACACAAGGAGGTATCTGTCCTCTACCCACCGCGGGTATCGAAACCCGTTTATTCGCGTTATAAGCCCGCAGCTCATTTCTTATAAAATGTTTCTGTCTCCAGAAAGTAAGTCAGCAGCTGTCCCTCTGTTACCAAACCCAAAGTTTTTATGGTTTTATTAATTTTCAAAACTAAATACTAGATCTAATGGGTTCTTTCAAACTTTTCAGAAAATAACAATTAAAAATGTCGGTTTATTTTACTTTGACTTCACTGTCACCATTTCAACCAATTATTAGTTTAGTAAATTATAAGACTGTAAATAAGGCTTAAGTAAATATAATCAAAAATTTTATTGAATCCCAAAAAAATCTTTGGTGTCGTGTGTTTCTTGTTTTGCTGAATTTCCCGCAAAACTACTCGAGGGCTATCTCCGCTAGTCGCATCCCTAATTTAGAGGTGATGGATTAGAAAGAAAGCAGTAAGTTAACACCGCTCACCCACAAATTTTGGGCTACTCTTTTACCAACTAAAAGTTGGATTGACCGTTACATTATAATGCCCCCACGGCTGAAGGTGTGTATGTTCGGTAACAGGATTCGAATCCGCAAGTTGCTAGTCAAGCGCCCCATAACCACCCGTGACGTAGGCCCGGCATGGCCAGGTGGTTAGGGTGCTCGACTCGCAATCTGCGGGTCGCGGGTTCGAATCCCCGTCACACCAAACATGCTCGCCCTTTCAGCCGTGGGGGCGTTATAATGTGACGGTCAATCCCACTTTTTGTTGGTAAAAGAGTAGCCCAAGAGTTGGCGTTGGGTGGTGATGACTAGCTGCCTTCCCTCTAGTCTTACACTGCTAAATTAGGGACGGCTAGCGCAGAAATTCAAAACAAACAAACAAAACCAGTGACGTCACGTAAACAATATCCTAAGAAATAAGAAACAGAAATGAAACTTACTGCAAGTAGCTGTTTGCTTTTCTTGTTCTTCATTGTTTTGTGTTTATTTTGACGTTTTTCGTTACTCCTGTACCTACAAAAAAAAAGAATTATATGCTTATAATACCATTTTTCACTAACAAGTACCGTTACAAACGAAACGTTAAGTAAAATAACATGCAAAGACGTTTCTCCGCATTAATTACAATCACATGTTCATTATGAGTTTCAAAAGTTATTTAAAATAAAACTTTCTTTTAACCAGTTACTTGTTTTCGGCTATTCAAAACGGAGTAGTGTTTTATTTTATTAAATATTCAAAACGCAAAATAGCTTTGAAAACTGTATGAGAAATGTTTTAAAATTACTTTTCTTCCTATAGGATCGTGAACAGCTTTCAAAAATTATAGAATTCGTCAACATGTTGCTTTGCAGATTTTTTTCAATGATAAAAATTACCTTCATGCACGAGTGTCTTAAATTTGTAAAAAAAAAAAAAACACTCGAACTAAGTACAGAGTACTAGTTTTGGACCATTGAAATCAGCCAGCAGTACTAGTCGCAACAAGGGTTTTATATAGCTGTGTATTTTAAACAAAGAGAATGACTGTCACTTTCATAACGCTCCCACAGCTGAACGTAAGGTGTGTGTTCAGCAACATCCCCTTTCGAACCTTAAACCTTTCCATCTGGATTTCGGCATTAGGCCACACCCAACCCTCCGAAATTTATAAATACAATGAAATATAATTGTTTCGTTTTGACATATTTAACACGTACACACACACAGTGAACACAACATAAACACCTGTAAGCCTACACGGTGTATGCACATAAATGTAAGCATACACACACACACATACACACCATATCCACACGTACACACAAGAGTATTCACTACGTATTAAATACATACACCCACAAATACTCACACGACTCTTAGCTGACTTATAAATAGTGCTAGTTGATTTCATTTGATAGACACGTTAACATCTGAAGCGTGAACTGTAACACAGAATAGTAGACAAGTTCGGCAAGTAGGTCAAAACCTCTATAGTACATAATACTGCTTAAATGTAAGAAAAACGTGTTTCAAATATTTAGACGACCTGGGTGGAGAGGGAGAGGGGATCAGGTACACCGAGACATGTTCCTCCCTCCTTGACAATTGTTATTTTAAGGGGTTTACAATAAAACATGAGCACAAATGATGAGATCGCTCGAAACTCTTTTTTTTTTTTTTTGTTCTATTATAAGCTTTCAGACTTCCTGCCTAGCCACTAGGGGACGTGCTTGTAGGGAGTTGTATGAAAACGTAGATGAATCATGTGTAGAAGATTAATACGAACAGGTTTGTAGTGGTTATATATCCATGACATTTAAAGTCGGGCAATATTCCTCTACATACATATCAAGACGCTGAAGAATTGTATGTCAAACTGTGTTACTTCACAAGATAAAGAGTACGCTCAAAGCATAGTAATTAAAACAATAATTTCGAAATAATAGACAAAGGAAGGTAAAACTTCGATACATACCGATCAGATGTTTCCATTCTTCTATCACACTCATTAGTAATGTTAAGGTCGCCCGCCAGGAGACGAGAGATTGCTGGATAACGACGAGTTCTCCTCTAGGGGGCTGGAGAATCAAGAATGAACATACAGGCATTAAATTAGGCAACAGAAGGTAATTTTCACGACATAAAAATATCCAGCCCCGGATCCTGTATAATAAATTAACTTTCCACAGTTTTTAAGGAGAGTTTTAATTGCGTGTGGAGCTTTAAAATCAAGTTGGATCAATATATTAGCCACAAAACAAAAATGATACATATTTACTTACACAGCTGAAGTCTGTCTGTACACCTTCAGAAAACCTGTAGCTTTTCGACTAGAGTAAACTCAAAGAACGTATTTAATCAGATCTTCATGACTCATGGCATGTTTCAGTAATAAATCTGCCAAATCTTACTTTTTAATTGCATACTTCTGTACATTGACATCTGTGGATCTTGAGGAGTGTACAGGGCGTGTTACGTTCAAAATTGAAATTTACCGCTTAAAATTTCGAAGAAAAGAGCACGGATAATAAGAATAGTTTACTATATATGCTAAGAAGAAATAAAGTAATATAAGCACCGATTATTAAAGCAACAACATGCGTTGAAGACTATAATTATACAACACATTAAACTGAAAAGAATACGCACATTATATTAATTCACATATGCAACAGTAAAACAATAAAAGTACACGTTTTCATGTAAAACAATAAAATCACACGTTTTCAAGTCACTAGCGCATCAAGTTGGGGAGACCCGGGCTAGTTGTTACGATTTTTAGAAAAAGTCCAATATCTAGCGAAAA